CGCGCCTCGCCTCGGCTCTGCGGCGCCACCTGCCGGCCGCCGGGGGTAGGTGGGCGGGCGGGGCCTGGGACCGGCGCCGAGCCTCGCTGGGGGCGTGTCCCGGGGGGCGGGGCTTCGCGCCGCACCCCCTACCGGTCAGGGCATCTCTCTATGCCCGTATGACGTAATAATTGCCTGTTCATCCATTTATTGTCGTTATCATCGTCGTCGTCATCATAAGCAACAACCAGGGGTCTTGTTGTAGAAAAAGAGCTGCCGGAGCTCATTAGCATAACTCATTAGCATAACTTATTTGCATATGCCACGCCCCCTGACATCACCGGAAGTGACAGAAGGCCACACCCCCTGACATCACCGGAAGTGTGTCAGAAGGCCCGGCTACTTACCCTCCTGCTTCATCCTCATTCCCAAACGGAATGAGGATCGAAGCAGAGGGCGGGGTAAAGAAGGGGGCGGGGCTTCACCACGTGACCGCCCCGCCCCCTAGAGGTTCTCTTCCGGAGCTCCGTACCTGAGAGCTCCCCCCCCCCACTAGAGCCCTGGCAACAACAATAGTGGTAATAATAATAACAACAGAACAAAGTGTGAGTCCAGTAGCACCTTTAAGACCAGCAAAGTTTGATTTTGGGCATAAGCTTTCCTGTGCATGTTCCCTCTAAGCTGAGTCAGTGTGAGCCAGCTCAGTTTTTTAGCCTCCGGCTCACACGTTTGTCTTGGCTCAGGAAGGGATGGCTCCAGAGCATGCAGGAGCCAAATCACTTGCTGAGAACTTTAATGCCTCTTTATATATATCTCTATCTATATCTCTATCTATCTATCTATCTATAGAGATAGATAGATGGATGGATGGATGGATGGATGGATGGATGGATGGATGGATGGATGGATGGATGGATGGATAGATAGATAGATGTTAAAGCTGTACTTTTTAAAGGGTTTGTGTTGAAGGCTCTGTTTAAAATTTATTCTAAATTGCTTTTAGAATTTATTTTGTTAATCTATATATATAGTAAATGGAGGGAGTAAAAGTAATAGAACCCAATTACCATACCTGAAAGGAAAATAAATATTGACAGTATTAATTAACTGAAAATTAGAGTAATTGGAAAACATTATATAGGTGTATAAAGGTAAAGGTTCCCTTGCTCGAAAGCCAGTGGAATCCGACTCTAGGGTTGCGGTGCTCATCTCCGTTTCAAAGCCGAAGAGCCAGCGCTGTCTGAAGACGTTTCCGTGGTCATGTGGCCGGCATGACTAAACACCGAGGCGCACGGAACGCTGTTCCCTTCCCACTGAAGTGGTACCTATTTATCTACTTGCAATTTCTTGCTTTCGAACTGCTAAAAGATTATAAAGTAATATTGGCTAAAAATCATGTGGTTACATGTCAGGTATGATATGAATTTAGGGAAAATAAATAAGTTCATTGTTGTTTAAATTTTTTTTAAGGTCAAACAATAAGTAAATGGTTTAGTTATGAGAGAAGGTGATAGCCATGTCCCAAATGTTTATAAAATTAATTACTAGGAAGTCAGAATCCCGACTAATGGGATGAAACGATTGGAGAAATGTGAAAATTCGTGGTATACAGATGAGAAAACTAAATTAAGCTGAAATAAGTATGTTATGTTTTGTGAAAATATTTTGGAATCCAGAATGAACTAGTCTTATATTTGTTTATTATGTCTTGATATGTCTTTTTTCTTTCTTTCTTTGTGTGTTTAAAAAACCAATAAATATATTGTTTTTTTAAAAAAAAGAATAATGCCAGTAGCTCACAAGGTGGAATTTTTGCTCTCAAGCCTCCACAGCTTAGAGGCAGCATTGATTCAGATATCTGAAGAAGTGTGCATGCACAGGAAAGCTTATACCCCAAGTTCAACTTTTTCAAAGTTTAATTCTGGGTATAAGCTTTTGTGTGCGTTCTCAACCTTTACATGTAGGTGGGAGGGATGAGTTGCGAGGAAGGGCTAGTTAGAGTTCAAGATGCATAAGTAACTGGGCGATTATAGCTGAGCTTGGATTAAAGTGAACGGACTATGCAGATGAGTGAACAGAGTTTGAGTCCAGGGGCACCTTTAAGACCAACAAAGTTTTATTCAAGGTATGTGCTTTCATGTGCACTGAACCCGAACTTTGTTCTGTTGCTTCTGTAGCCAACATGGCCACCCACGTGAATAATAATAATAGTGATAGTAATAATAATGCTCATTTAATACTGGAGACCCAGCCTAAGGGTTAAGAGCTCGGGAGACCCAGGTTCATATCCTCCGCTCTGCCATGGAAGCTTGCTGGGTGATCTTGGGCCAGTCACAAGTTATCATCTAGCCTCTGTTGTCGGGACAGAATGGAGGGGCGAAGAACTGTGTTAGCCGCTTTGGGTGCCTACCCGGAAGACAGATGGGGTGTAAATGAAGTAAGCAGTCAAACAAACGGTGCTTGCGGGTTTTTCTGGTGTTCCCTATACCTGTCAAATCTCTTGGACTAAGGGCAGCGGTAGGAGAAAATAAATGCCTGTTTTTTCAGGAATCCGTTAATACCTGATCTGGCTAACTATACCAGCACTTGAAGAAAGTGTGAGTCCAGTGGGCACCTTTAAGGCCGACCAAGTTTTATTCAGGGTATAAGCGTTCGTGTGCATGCACACAAACGCTTACGCTCAGAATTAAATTTTGTTGGTCTTAGAGGTGCCCACTGGACTCACACTTTGGTCAGCTGCTTCAGACCCACTTGGCTTCCCACCTGAATCTAGATCAACACTTGTTCATGGTGTGTATGTCTGTATCTGTGCCTGCTGAAGATGGCCCATAGGGCGGAAGTGCATTTCACCATCTTGTGGTTCACGGTGGCTTTGTTTGTGGACTATCAGCTTTGAGATACTCACTGAGTCAGGTTTCCTGTGGTCTTGTTTGTATATCGTCAGCTTTGAGGAACTCCTTTGTACTATATAGTGAGGGACTACTTTGTCCAGTGGCTTCCAATCTGAAGGCTAAATTCAAGGCCTATGTTTTAAAAATTGCTGTTTTAAGTACACTGTGTAATAAATTCATTTTTGTTTAATTTTTTTGTGCCTGTTGCTCATCAGGGATAGTATGTTTTTTGCACAATATGTGCTTCAAAAAATTCTAGTGGACCAAAACAGCAGTAGCCTACAATCTCTGGGTGTGGTCACACAGGCTAAATAATCTACTTTCAGTACACTTTCCAACTGGATTCTTACTGTGTGAACTGGCAGAATCAATTTGGAAAGAGCATTGAAAGGGGACTACTTTTGTGTGCGTGACCACAGCCTCTGACCGATTTCGCACATGTGACTTACCCCTGGTTCTCGGCGGGGCAGTTTGCCCCAGATCGTCCGAGTCAATTTCCCATTAAGCTTTTGGCACGCGCAGGGGTCATTTCGTAGAAAAAGAGGTGCAGGAGCTCATTAGCATAACGCATTTGCATATGTCAAACCACTGACATCACCGGAAGTGTGTCAGAAGGCAACACCCACCGCTCAGGCTCCATTGGACTGTTTTGGATTGCTGGCTATTGGGGGGGGGGGGGGTGTGCAGATCTGTCCTGGCAGAGGAGGGAGAGCTTGCACCTGAATAAAACTTGGTCTTAAAGGTGCCACTGGACTGTTTTGGACCTGGGGGCCGGGGGGGGGCTCTGCAACTTTACCTGGCTGCTTCTTGCTCTGACTGAGGGCCGCTGGGAGCAAGGGGTGGGGCTTGTTGCATGTGCCCACCCCCTGAGCTCTTTACTGCCGGAGCGCCGCTCCTGTGCACTCCTGCAGGAAATGACCCCTGGGCGCACGGCTCTTAGCAATCTGCCCGGTCTGCTCCCGGAGTTTGATTTTGGCATTACAGCCTTGGTGAGGTTTCCTGCGGCTTCTCTCCTCCCACCCGGTGCTTGCCCTCTTAACCCCTCCCATCCCCCCTCCCAAAAACACCAGAGGGAAGCGAAACACGAAGAGTGAGCCCGGGACAAAGCCTTCTGTGAAATTTCGGGAAGTACGTCATTGTCCAAGAAAGTGATTCCAGAAGTTGAGGAGGAGGAGGGGGATGACCCTCTTGTGAAGTTCTGCTCAACGGGTCATTTGCCCTCTGTCCCTTGAGCTAGTACAGCGATCCCCAACACGGTTCCCAGGGGCACCATATTTATTTATTTATTTATTTATATTTGAATTTATATCCAGCCCCGTAGCTAGGGAATTCTTTGGGAGGGGGCCTTGGGGGGGGGCGCCAGCTAATTAAATGGAAGTACAGTGCAGGTGGTAAGTTGGAGCACTTTGGGGGCAGCCCTGGAGGGAGGGGGCCCAGAAGAAACACAAGGGGGCCGGGCCCCGTGGGCCCCATGTTAGCTACGGGCCTGTTTATATCCCGCCCTACCCCGAAGGCTCATGGTGCCCACCAATGTTCCCTCTAAGCTGTGGAGTCTTGTGAGCAAAAATTCTACTCTGTGAGCTACTGGCATTAAAGTTGTGAGCGAGCGATTTGGCTGTTGCATCAATTTGTCTGCTCTGGAGCCATCCTTCCTGAGCTAAGACAAAAATGTGTGAGCCGGAGGCCAAAAAACTGTGAGCCAGCTCACAGTAACTCAGCTTAGAGGGAACACTGGTGCCCACTGAAAATTTTCTTTTTACCTGCCAAGTGTTTTCAGAAAACGGTGGGGCTGATTGGCCACTGGAGATCTGATTGCCTGCACAGATTAAAATAATCTTTCGGCAACGGCTGCCACCCCAGGGTTGCTTCCGTTTTCTCTCTCACTCTTCTTTCTCGGCATATTTAAAGAATCACGTCTCTTCTCCCCCCCCCCCTTCCTCCACTTGGGCCTCCTCTGTGGGTGGGGCTCCATCTCCAGCAGTGGTGGGGTTGCCAGGTCTGGGTTGGGAAACACCTGGAGACTTTGGGGGTGGAGCCAGGAGAGGGCGGGGTTTGGGGAGGGGAGGGGCCTCGGAATGGTCCAGTGCCACGGAGTCCACCCTCCGAAGCAGCCATTTTCTCCAGGGGAGCTGATCTCTGTCAGCTGGAGATCAGTCTTAAGAGCGGGAGATCCCCAGGCCCCGCCTGGAGGCTGGCAACCCTGAGCAGTGGCCATTTTGTGGTGGTGCCCGTCCTCCTGTGCCAGAGGTGCCCACGGTCACTAACAGGCTGGGGACCCCTGAGTTACTCCATCGCCTAAAAGTGACGTCCCCCTGTGTGTTGACCTGAGGACTGCCGCGTTTCAGTTCTTTCTGCCTCATAGAAGGCCTGTGTGTTTCAATGAAGGCGCACGTTAAGGCTCTCCACAGCTGGCTTTGTTACTTTCAAGGCTGTGTCTTCGCTTAGTGCTCCCTCTAAGCTGTGGAGTCTTGTGAGCAAAAATTCTACTTTGCGAGCTCCTGGCATTAAAAGTTGTGAGGGAGCGACTTGGCTGCTGCATCAATTAGTCTGCTCTGGAGCCCCCTCCTTCCTGAGCGAAAACACAAATGCATGAGCCGGAGGCTAAAAAACTGTGAGCTAGCTCACACTAACTCAGCTTAGAGGGAACACTGCTTATAATCAATACCTCCATCACCATCAGTGCTCCCTCTAAGCCAGTGATGGCGAACCTGTTAGAGACCGAGTGCCCAAACTGCGACCCAAGACCCACTTATTTATTGCAAAGTGCCAACATGGCAATTTAACCTGAATACTGAGGTTGTACTTTAGAAAAAACAACTCATACATTAACTTAAGATGATCCAAACAAAGTAAGGAAAGCCATCCCAAATGCTTTCATTTACTTAAAATTATTTGGCAGAGAATTCAACACTTTAATGATGGTCTGGGCCTGGCTGGGGTGATGGCACGCGTGCCCACAGAGAGGGCTCTGAGTGCCACCTCTGGCACCCGTGCCATAGGTTCGCCACCACTGCTCTAAGCTGTGGAGTCTTGTGAGTAAAAATGCTACTTTGCGAGCTCCTGGCATTAAAGTTGTGAGCGAGTGATTTAGCTGCTGCATAAATTAGTCTGCTCTGGAGCCACATCCTTCCTGAGTGGAGACAAAAATCTGTGAGCCAGAGGCTAAAAACCTGTGAGCTAGCTCACACTGACTCAGCTTAGAGGGAACACCGTTCCCCACCCCAGCGGCCTCCAGGGTATGTCCCTTCGAGTCCACAGATGCAGGCGAGAGGCCGGACAGCTAAGTTCCCAGGGACAGAAGGAACTCTGCTTGCAAGGAAAAAGCACCCCATCTCTGAGCAAGAACTGAGAAAGAGAGGCATGAGGGCCCTCTGGTATTTATTCAGACCACTTGTGATCTGCGACGTGAGACACTTAGAAGACCAGGGAAAAAAATATCTGAATAGCATCAGCTGCACGTTGCCAAGAGCCTGCGAGAGCCCGCGCCGATTCCCATCAGAAACAGAAAGGCCCGCTTCGAATGATGTTGGTTCAGCCGGATTAGAACCCGGTCTTCGAATCCACTGCGTCTGGCAGCCCTGACTGGGTGGACTGCAGGGTTGCTTGGCGGCTTCTGCGGTCTCGCTGGGCCCCTGGCTGTGCGGGGAAAGGCAGGCGGTCTAGAGGGGCTTCAGGGTCACTTCCACAGGAAAATGGTCGCTGACCGCCAAGGCCTGGAAAGGAGAGAAGGACGGAATGAGTTAAGAGGCGGAGAGAGCCTGGCTCTGGATGTAGTAGGGATCCCCCAGAATTGTAGCTCATCTCCAGACTGCCATCATCAGTTTCCCTGAAGAAAATGGACACTCTGGAGGGTGGACTCTGCACCACTGCACCCCATGGAGGTCCCCGCCCTCCTCAACCTCCATCCCCAAATCTCCAGCAGTTTCCCCAACCTGGAGCTGCCCATCCTACATTCCCCCACCCACCCCGTCTCCCACTCATGGCCAGGGGAGACCTGGTGACCCTAAGAGGGAGCTTTGATGAGGACGCCTACACTGGAATCCACCAGGGACAGTACTCCATGCCCACCCAGGGGTCATTTCCTGCAGGAGCGCAGAGGAGCGGAGCTCCGGCATTAAGAGCCCAGGGGGCGGGCACATGCAACAAGCCCCATCCCCTGCTCCCAGCAGCCCTCAGTCAGAGCAAGAAGCAGCCAGGTAAGTTGCAGAGCTCCCCCCCCTGGCCCCCCGGCCCCAAACAGTCCAGTGGCACCGTTAAGACCAGGTTTTATTCAGGTACAAGCTCTCCCTCCTCTGCAAAGGCAGATCTGCATGTTCCCCCCCCCCCAATAGCTAGGAATCCAAAACAGTCCAGTGGAGCCTGAGCGGTGGGTGTTGCCTTCTGACACACTTCTGGTGATGTCAGGGGGTGTGGCCTATGCAAATAAGTTATGCTAATGAGCTCCTGCACCTCTCTTTCTACGAAATGACCCCTGATGCCCACAAGGGAAGAGGTGAGCCCCTAAGTTTGCTAGGGCTTCTCTCAGCCCCAAGTCCCCCGTCCGGCAGCCCCTGGGACAGCGTGGTCCTATATCGCCGGGACCCCGCTGACCCACAAGCGGCGTTCCAAAGAGCGTCTCACGTCCTTGTTGCTGAGGCCGAAGGTCTTCTGGAAATCGTTCACTCGCGCTGTCCCCGGCACGGTGCCGCCTCTCAATTTTGGCCCTGCCGCCACAATCCTGCAGCCGCCATGGAAAAAGAGGAGCGTGAAGGCCCAGAAGGAAAGAAGATTGCTCCAGAAATATGCGGGGAACAATGCTCCCTCTAAGCTGTGGAGTCTTGTGAGCAAAAATTCTGCTTTGTGAGCTACTACCGGCATTAAAGTTGTGAGCGAGCAATTTGGCTACTGCATAAATTAGTTTGCTCTGGAGCCCTCCTTCCTGAGCTAAAACAAAAATGTGTGAGCCGGAGGCTAAAAATCTGTGAGCTGGCTCACACTAACTCAGCTTAGAGGAAACACTGGTGGGGAGCCATTGGAGACACTCAGGAGGGGGACTGTGGCTGACGGGAGGGATGAAAACCGAGGAAAAAAGGGGGGGGACTCAACCCAAAATGTAGCTGTGATCTAAGAGGGTCAAGCTAACAAATTTTTTATAAAAAGACAAATACTTATTATGGGGTACACATAAATAAAACATACATAAGGTTAAAAAAAAAAGTCCAAATATCTGACTCTTAAGGCTTATTACATTCAGAGCTGATAATTATACATGTCCAATTGATGGGTTAAAATATTTGACCAATAGACCATACGCGTTTCGGCCCCTTCGGACCTTCCTCAGTGATCAAGATTCCTATCTCCCTTATAAATAAAAGCCGAATGGTGGTGGCACTTCTCTAGAACAATCCACACGCTCCAAAATCAGTTAGCTCTCTGATCTGTCATTCAGAGGGTCTCCCTATCTACTGGCTGCTTTGCCTGAGTCCTCTCTCCCCCCCATAGCCAGTCAGAACACAGAGGTTATTTGCATATGCAGCCTCATTGGCCTTTGCCTCAGAACACAGAGGTCGTTTGCATATGCAACTTGATTGGCTTTTGCCTCTAACATTCTAAGCAGTTTGCTGTTCTGAGGTAAAATGTGTCCAATCTCCAGGTGAGGGCTGGAGATCCCTCAGAATTACAACTGCTTTCCAGATGGCAGAGATCAGTTCCCCTGGGGAAAATGGTGGGCTCTGTAATATGCTGCTGAGGTGGCCCCCATGACAGCCAATATGACGTAGAAGTCAGGGCTTCAGAGCACGGGAGAGGCTGCAGGTGTGTGTGTGGGGGTGGAAAGCTAGAGCCAGGTGTTGCTTTCTCTTATGCATCCTGAAATATGTGATATTCGTTACCAGAATAATTTGGAGAATTTGTGCAGTTACTATCCATGGTGGCCCATTATACAAACGTTTAGCAACTGCAAAGCTTCCGGGTATGTTGTAGGGCTATCTTTCGGCTGTGCTCCTGCAGAGTGCAGGGGGTTGGACGAGATGACCTGCAAGGTCCCTTCCAACTCTAACATTCTATGATTCTAGGGCGGGTCACAGCATTTCAGTAAATACAATAAAATTTAGAACACATTAAAACACATTAAAACAATAGTCATGCTTGCCACAGGGAGAATCCAGCCCATTGATGTAAAAAGGGCATTTTGCACCTCCAGCCTCCACCTTTCTCTGTTGCCCCTCTAAGGGAGGCAGCTGTGTGCCGGGAACCTTTGCCGCAGAGTTTTGGGGGCCCGGGGGCCCAGCTCACCTGTCGTAGGCGCAGTCCGTGCTCGTCACGGTGGTGTCCACTGTGTCCGGGATGAGCCACTGGAAGTCGCGGCTGGTGCGCAGGCGGATGTGAGGCCAGTCATCGGGGCGGACGTAGGAGCAGTCGGCGTTCAAATCCCCCAGGAAGAGCACGTCCTGCCAAGAAGCAAACAGAGGGCGATTCTGCGTCTAGCATTCACTCCACATTTTCTCAGCCAGGAGGGGAAAGTGCCGCTCAAAACCACATTCAGATACCTCGGGGCGACGGCCTACTGACTGCAAAGTCACCCCGAATGGCCATAAAACAGCCATAAATCTATGCAGAAGGCAGTGTCCCCCCTAAGCTGAGTGAGTGTGAGCTAGCTCACAGTTTCTTAGCCTCCGGCTCACACATTTTTGCCTTGGCTCAGGAAGGAGGGCTCCAGAGCAAACTGATTTATGCAGCAGCCAAATTGCTCGCCCACAACTTTAATGCCAGTGGCTCACAAAGAAAAAAATTTGCTCACAAGACTCCACAGCTTAGAGGGAGCATTGGCAGAAGGTACAATAAAACCTGATAATCAAAGGAAGTGAATGCGGCATGCAGTGCAGAGGGGAGTTCCCGTTCCAACCTGGACTTTGTACAACAACGGAGGAAAAAGTCAATGCGGAATCAGCCGGGCTCTGAACCGCAGGAGAACGTGGGAACTGCCAGCGTATTCCTGCCACTGCCCGGCATTCAGGCCGCTTCCTGGGCATGGTTCGGGGCGGAATCTCTGAGCACGCTGCTGCCCATTCCCTGGCTGGCACACACCGGGGGGGGGGGGCTGTGCAAGTTGCCGCAGAGAAGCAAAAAAATGTCAGAAGAGCCGGATCGGGCCCATCAGGTCCAGCATTCCAACGGCGCAGCAGCTGGCCCCCGGCCGGGCCCCGGAGCGGCTTACGTGGGTCCCCCACTTGCTGATCACATCCCGGTAGACGTCGTAGAGGGCGTCGATCTCTGCCACGGCTTCGCTGGGCGCAGTGTGCAGGGGGACCAGCGCCAGCTCCTTCACCTCTGTGGTGACAGAAAGAGGGGGACGCTTGGCTACCCAACAAAAGCTCTCTGGTTCTCCTTGAGAGAGGCCAAGAGCGGCCGGGGGGGGGGCAGGGGGGCGCATGGCCCTTACCAGTCCCAGGAGCTTCAAACTTCACCACAAAAGGCTCCCGGCTGAAGGTGTCATTGCCGCAGGGCTCACACCCGTCGTCGTACAGGTACGTGTCCACCACCGAGCCCTGGCCCTCCCTGCGCAGAGAGAAGCGGCGGCGGCGGCAGCTCAATGCCATCTCTTGGGTCTTTTGGACTGGCATCACGGGGTCGTGGTGGTGGAGGGGGTTGAGGGACGGTGGGGGGTGGGAAGACAGGGAGAGGCCCAAGTGGCACAGGGGCAGCAGAAGGCAGCGGGGAGGCTGGGGGAGCCCCTCCACTGGGGTACAGGGTAGGGTTGCCAGCTATGGGGCGGGAAATACCTAGAGATGTTGGGGATGGAGCCCGGGGAGTACTTTTGCATTTTGTGCGTGGGCACGCATGTCTGCACGTATGTGTGCCAGTGTGTATGTGTGCCCGTGCCAGGAAGCCACGGCGACTCCTCCTGGGGCACGGAGGCCGTTCAGAGAAGCAGCCTGATGTTGCCTGCCCCTGCCGCCCAGCCCTGGTATTCCTTGGAGGTTCCCCATCCAAGTATTTCCCAGGGTCGGCCCTGCTTGGCTTCCGAGATCTGGCGAGATTGGGCTTGCCTGGGCTATAGATCCAGGTCAGGGCAGGAGGGCATCGTCTTGAGAGGGAAGGAGGGACCTCAGCGAGGCGCAGTGTCTCCAAGCCCACCCTTCCAAAGCAGCCATTCCCCCCAGGGGAACTGATCTCTGTCATCTGGATGTCGATTGTAATAAGCGGGAGATCTCCAGCTGCCCCCTGGAGGTTGGCAAGCCAAGCCTGGGGACGGGAAGGGGCTGTCGTCTAGATGAGGGGAGGCAGGCGAGGGGCGAAGGCCGGGGAAGGTCTGAACAGGGAATATGTGCGGGCTGGGCGGATGCACACGTGGAGCTTCACAGGCTAAAGTATCAGTGGTGCTTACTCCATCCCCCCCCCCGCCTCCTTCTGCGCCCAGGCCCACCTGTAAATGAAGAGGTACTGCTCCTTGTAGCTGCTTCGTCCCAAGGGCGGGCTGACCACATAGCTGTACTTATCTGCTGACACCCTGAGGAGGAGGAGGAGGAGGAGAAGAGGAGGAGAAAGAGAAGAAGAGGAGGAGGAGATTGGATTTATACCCCATGGCCCTTTACTACCCGAAGGAGTCTCAGAGCGGCTTACAGACTCCTCTCCCTCCCCCTCCCCAGGACAGACACCCTGTGAGGTCGGTGGGGCTGAGAGAGCTCTTGACAGAAACTGCTCTGTTCCAAAAACAGCTCTGAGAGAACTTGTGACTGACCCAAGGTCACACCAGCAGCTGCAAGTAGAGGAGTGGGGAATCAAACCTGGTTCTCCCAAATTAGAGTCCACCGCTCTTAGCCACTGTGCCAAACTCAGCAGTGCAGAAAGAAGCACTGCGCCAAACTCAGCAGTGCAGAAAGAAGGTGTCGCGTTTCTGACTTTTAAAAACAAAGGAGCGAAGGAGAAAGAGGGTCTTGTGGCCCCCCCTTCCCCCCTCACTTTGCCGCCCTGCCAGGACTGGGATGTGCACAACAGACCCGTTGAGGAGGCTCATCAGCTTCTTGACTGCGCTCAGATCAGCGTCTCGGACCTCCTGGATCAGGACGAGGTCGTACGTGGACACAATCTGGAGGGAAACAAATCAGAGAAAGAGACCCCCGCAAGCCTTGAGCCCCAGGCGCGGAAGGAGAGGAACAGCGGGCGAGGAAGTGGAGTCTCTTTTGCACCTTAAAGCCGTACTGTGGGGTGGGGGAGCGATTGTAAGCAGGGTGGATCAAAGCGAGGCGCAGTGGCCAGTGGGGTGCATGAGTGGCCATGTCAGTCTCTCTGTAACAGGAAGAAAAGAGCCAGAGCCCAGGAGCACCTTCAAGACTAACACAATTTGTGCCAGGGTAGGAGCTTTCGCAAAGCACCGCTCACTTCTTCAGATACGGCTGGCGTGTGAGTCCAGCTGCCCTTATGTCTTGGAGAGTGGAGCGATTTCAGATGGCAATAGCGGGTGATTGACGATAGCAGGCATGACTGGATTAGGTGTGATATGCAGAGGGGTGGCAGGCATGGAGAAATCAGCTTGGGTAATGAGGCAGGAAGCCGAGGTCTCAATTCAGTCCAGGAGGTCTCAATTCAGTCCAGAAGGTCTTGAGCTTCATTATCAGTTGCAACTGAGCAGTCTCTCTTTTCTAATCTCTTTGAAACGCCTTTGTAGGAGAACTGCCTCCTCCTGGGCTGAATAGAGACCTAGGTTTCCTGTCTCATTACCAGTCCTGATTTCTCCACACCTACAACCCCTCTATATAATCACACCTAATCCAATCATGCCTGCTATTGTCATTCACCTGCTGTTGTCATTCAGCATCTGAAACCACTCCACTGTCCAAGATACAAGGGCCAATGGAGCCCCATTCTATCTGTATCTGAAGAAGTGAGCCGTGACTCACGAAAGCTCCTACCCTGCCACAAATTGTGTTAGTCTTGAAGGTGCTACCGAACTCTGGCTCTTTTTTAGTGGCTGAAGTGTTGGGCTACAGTCTGGGAGTTCGTTTACGGACAAAAGCAGCATATAAATTTGATTTGGAGTTGATAAAAAAAATTGTTTAAGTTTTTATTTCCAGGGGACCTGACCAGCATCTTCGAGAGTCTGGAAAACCTTTGGGGTCTTATAGGGTCACCTCAAGCACAAAGGCCATTCTTATCTCGTTGGCGGAGCTCTCACACATTTCTACCTCTTGCGTTTCGTCACTTTTTAACCAATTTCTAGCTGTCCATTTGGAAAGCCCTGCCCAGAAGCCTTTTTGAGCCCCATAATTGACAAGCACCTCTTCCCAAAAAGCAGGGCTTTTTTGGTAGATAAAGCCCAGCAGGAACTCATTAGCATAATAGGCCACACCCAACAGCAGGAACTCATTAGCATATTGGGCCACACCCCCTGACACCACAGCTCATTAGCGCATTAGGCCGCACCCCCATGTTACCAGAAGTGTGCTCATCCAGCCACACCCACCTTTTGCTTCTTATTCGGTTTACTCAGGGCTTTTTTGTAGCAGGAACTCCTTTGCATGTTAGGCCACACACCCCTAATGTAGCCAATTCTGATGAGTTCCTGCTGTTGGGTGTGGCCTGTTATGCTAATGAGTTCCTGCTGGGCGTGGCCAACTCGGGAGCCAGCCGGAGCTCCGTTCCTGTGCGTTCCTGCCCAAAAATAGCCCTGCCAAAAAGCCCCCCCCCCATCAAGTTAACTCACTTGGACAATGATGTTGCCGATGGTCTCGTTGGACATTTTGCTGTCCCCGAAGGTCCTGATGTTGAACGCGCTAATGCGCAAGGAGAGGGCAGAATCCGGCAGGAGGTGAACCGCAGTGAGCAAGGCCAGGAGCAGCGTGGACTTCATGGCCCCGATCCTGCGGGGAGAGAAGGAATCAGATGGGCCGTCGCTCCCCCCCACCCCCGTTCCTCTGATAGAGGAAAAGACGGGGGGGCTGGCATGGAATTAAAGTTCGCCGCTGCACCGGTTTCCGTTCATTTGTTTGTTTAACTTCACTAATCAGCACAATTATAAAACGGTAAAGACCAGGAGGGAAGACAGCACGGTATAGCCCGACCTCATTGGATCCTGGAAGCTAAGCAGGGTCTGTACTCGGAAGGGAGACCGCCAAGGAAGGCTCCGCAGGGGAAGGCAAGGGCAAACCACCTCTGCTTCTTCTCACTGGTCTCGAAAGACCCTTGCTGGCGTTGCCAGAAATCAGTTGCGACTTGACGGCACTTTATACACCCACATAATAAAGACCAGTCTGGTACGTACAAGAATGCAGAGAAATTGGGTGACACAAGTAGAGAATAATGACCTAAAGATGTAAGAACAGATGCTTTCGAATTCTGGTGCTGGAGAAGACTCTTGAGAGTCCCTCCTTGGACTGCAAGGAGATTGAATCAGTCAGTCCTAAAAGAAATCAACCCTGACTGTTCCCTGGAAGGCCAGAGACTGAAGCTCAAATACTTTGGCCACCAAAGGAGAAGGGAGCCCTCACTGGAGAAGACCCCGATGCTGGGAAAGACTGAAGGCCAAAGGAGAAGGGGGCGGCAAAGGATGAGGTGGTCGGACAGTGTGATCGAGGCAACGGGCATGGAGTTGGGCAAGCTCTGGACGCAGTGTTCCCTCTAAGCTCAGTTCGTGTGAGCTAGCTCACAGTTTTTTAGCCTCCAGCTCACGCATTTTTGTCTTGGCTCAGGAAGGATGGGGCTCCAGAGCAGACTAATTGATGCAGGAGCCAAATTGCTCGCTCACAACCTTAATGCCAGTGGCTCACAAAGTAGAATTTTTGCTCACAAGACTCCACAGCTTAGAGGGAGCATTGCTCCAGAGGACGGCGGAAGACAGGAGGGCCTGGCGTGATGTGGTCCACAGGGTCGCGAAGAGTCAGACCCGACTGTGCGACTGAACAGCAACAACATCCAACGCACAGTGCAGTGCCAGGGAAAAGGGAGAAGGAAAACTAGCTATCCCCCCCCCCCCGAGAATGAAAGCCACAGCCCCATTCCTTTGATAAAAAATACCCTCCTGAATGTTTCCATTTTACACCTTCTGTGGAGTGATGAGCGCTGGAGCCAGGCTGAACCTCGGCAGGGGCCCATTCCTGGAGGGGGTGGGAACCAGAACAACAGAGAATGCCCCCGTATGGCTAGCGGTTGATTTTGCCCATTTGCAGGGCTGGACTTTCCAAAGACATTGCTCAGAGGAGCCCATTGAGAGAGGCTGTCCTGGAGGCCCGTGGGCGCTAGACCCTGACGGACTTTCTAAGTAGCAACCAGTACCTTGGACTGCATCTGGAATCTAATGGGTAACTGATTGCAAAATATATGGAGTGTGCTTACTCTGCCTAGGAGCACCAGATAGTACATCGGCTGTGCCGTTCTGTACCCACTGCACTCTCCAAGCGGCCTTTGCGGGCAGGCCCACGATGAGTGCGTGGCAACAGTCTAGCTCAATGTTCCCTCTAAGCCATGGAATCTTGAGAGCAAGAATTCTACTTTGTGAGCTACTATTGGCATTAAAGTTGTGAGCGAGCAATGCGGCTCCTGCATGAATCAGTTTGCTCGGGAGCCCTCCTTCCTGAGCTAAGACAAAAACGTGTGAGCCGGAGGCTAAAAAACTGTCAGCTAGCTCACACTGACTCAGCTTAGAGGGAACACTGGTCTAGCTGCAATGTTGCTGTGGCAGGATCCACGTGGCCACGTCGGTCAGCTCAAGATGGGGAGACGAGGAGAAGCCCTTCCCAAGTGCTTTGGCAATGTGTAAGCCTCAATAACCCAGCGTTGGACCCTTCACATTTCGATAATACTTGTTAGCACTTAACGTCTCATCCCAGAGGTACGACTGCGTGAGACTTTCAGACTCAAGTCCTCTCTAGTGAAGAACTGGGCAGCTGAACAGCTCCCATTGGCAGGTGAACCGCAGGATCGGAAGAAAGGCCCAGGAGGAAAAGGAGTCGGACTCCGTTGAGCAGGTGCAGGCAGAGCAAGGAGGGAGAGCCCTTCCATCCCCGGACAGCCACCTGCTCCTGCGTCCCATGCAGTGTTCCCTCTAAGCTGAGTTAGTGTGAGCTAGCTCACAGTTTTTTAAGCCTCCGGCTTATGCATTTTTGTCTCCACTCACGAAGGATGCCTCCAGAGCAAACTTAATTCATGCAGGAGCCAAATCGCTTGCTCACAACTTTAATGCCGGTAGCCCACAAAGCAGAATTTTTGCTCACAGGACTCCACAGCTCAGAGGGAGCCTTGGTCCCATGCATGCCCCGACCTCTGACCTCCTCCCCTCCCTCCGGTGTCATGGCAGCCCAGCCTTTGGAGGTCCCAGGCGCTGGCTCTGCCCACCACCCTGCAAGCTGAAAGCCCTTCTGAGCCAGCCGGCCTTACCTGGCGCAGGTGAGGAGTCTGCAGCAGGTGATTCCTTCGGCAGGGGTTTTCTCACAGGCCTCCCTCTTTGAAGGCCACTTTTCTGTCATGAAAGACACAATTGTGTCTGGGGTGTGCCCGGGGGGGGAGGTGGAGGTGGGGAAAAGATTTGGGACTGTTCCATTCCTTCTTTCTGGGTCACCCGTTCCCACCACTGTCTGTTCCGGGGCCGGGGCAGGTCCTGGGCTCCGTGCCTGCTCGAGCGTACCAAAACCCTTCCTCGTGCCCACTCAAACAAACCGGAGGCAATTCCTGCTCAGGACTTGGCCGGGCTGCCCTAGCGAACGGGGAGCGACTGAGGCACCGGCGGCTTCTGCTGGCCTGGCCCCGGGGAGAAGCCATCTCTTACAACAAAGAGGCTTGGAATCGCCCGACTTTCTCGAATGCCGATAGCGAAAGAAGCGCCTGACCCTGCTGGGAAACATGAAGTCTGCCCCTCTGCTTGGGATGCCAGCCTCCAGGGGGGACCTGGGGATCCCCAGGAATTGCCGCTCATCTCCAGACCAGTGTTCCCTCCAAGCTGAGTCGGTGTGAGCTCGCTCACAGTCTTTTAGCCTCCGGCTCACACGTTTTTGTCTTCGCTCAGGAAGGATGTGGCTCCAGAGCAAACTGATTTATGCAGTATAGCCCAATCCCTCGCTCACAACTTGAATGCCAGAGGCTCACAAAGTAGAATTGTTGCTCACAGGACTCCACAGCTTAGAGGGAGCATTGCAGCCAGTGTTCCCCCTAAGCTGAGTCAGTGTGAGCTAGCTCACAGTCTTTTAGCCTCCGGCTCACGCATTTCTGTCTCTGCTCAGGAAGGATGTGGCTCCAGAGCAAACTAATTCATGCAGGAGCCAAATCGCTCGCTCACAGCTTCAGTGCCAGTAGCTCGCAAAGTAGAATTTTTGCTCACAGGACTCCACAGCTTAGAGGGAGCCTTGGTCCAGACTATAGAGATCAGTTCCCCTGCAGACAATGGCTGCTTGGGAGGGTGAACTTTGCAGCATCCTATCCCATTGAGGGGGCCCCTGTCCCCCCAGGCTCCATCCCCAAGTCTCCAGGGGTTCCTGCATCTGGCCACCCTGTCCTCCCCCCCACCGGTTGGCAACCCCAACCTCTTCGGAGAGGCCTCTCTACCTTTCTTGCTCCTTCTCCTGTGGAGAAAGTCCACCTGCGCAATTCCCTTAAAACGCCGCACGGCCCTGCCCTGACCTTGCCAGGTGTTCAGGTGTTTGTACAGGTGAGCGGATTCCCGCGGAAACATTTCTGGGAATTGTTTTCTAGCCTTTTAGCTGACCAGAGATAGAAACCTCTCATACTGCAGAATTTTTATATGTTTATATGGATTTTTAAAAATATGTTTCAAGTGGGGGCTGGGAGGAGACATGAGAACGTAAGAGAAGCCAACGTTGGATCAGACCAGTGGCCCATCCAGTCCAACACTCTGTGGCACACAGGGGCCAGAAACCCCATCAGGAGGTCCAGCAGTGGGGCCAGGACACTAGGAGCCCTCCCACTGTTGCCCCCCCCCCAAGCACCAAGAATACAGAGCATCCCTTGCCCCAGACTGAGGGTTTCTATCTGTACCTTGTGGCTAAGAGCCACTGATGGACCTCTGCTCCATATGCTTATCCACAAGAACATAAGCCAATGTTGGATCCGGCCAATGGCCCATCCAGTCCAACACTCTGTGTCATACAGGGGCCAAAACTACCAGGTGCCACCAGGAGGTCCACCAGTGGGGCCAGGACACTGGAAGCCCTCCCAATGTTGCCCCCCCCCACAAGCACCAAGAATACAGAGCATCCCTTGCCCCAGCCGGATAGTTCCTCTCTATACCTTGTGGCTCATAGCCACGGATGGACCTCTGCTCCATATGCTTATCCAATTCCCTCTTGAAGCCGTCCATGCTTGTAGGGGCCACCACCTCCTGTGGCAGTGAATTCCATGTGTTAATAGTGTTTGTGGCACCTTCACTATTTTGCTTCATCTTGGAGTTGTCCAATAGCTATAAGGACAGAAGAAGGCAGTCGCAGGTTACTGTACAACGGGCATACAATGGACACACGAGCCTTGCCAAAGAACATTTAATTTGCTTTTTTCACGATCTTTGAAGTTTGCAATGAATGCAGAAATGCCCAGGGCTAGGCTACTGATTAGCTGCAGCCACTTCCTGCAGGGGAATTTTCAGAGCTGGGAGATGTGCAGAGTCCCAAAGAACGATGCACAAGTCGAGTGGGATTTGTATATGAAGCTAACTGTTGGTTCTGGCCACTAGGTGGCACTCATTCCACGCAGTTCCCTACAGAGCTCAAACCTGACGGCTCCTGGGAGATTGTTCTCGTGTCCTCTTCTCTTATCTCAAGTTATTGCATTTTTTAAAAAGGCTTCCTCACCAACCTAGATTGAATGAAAAAGGACTGAGCTGAAGCGTCTAAAAGTTCATGTAACCAT